GTAGTGTAGTGAATATTGCTTTTCTCTTTCTGTACATTTTATTTAATGAATTAAAGACATAAACCTTTTCTCTCACCAGCAAATACCAAACAGCTATCATATGATGAGGTTGTAAATCAGTCTAGTCCAAGCAACTGTACTGTATACTGTGGAGGTGTTACTTCTGGGCTAACAGGTATGGGAGCCTTCCCTGGGTGGCATTAATTTTTAAAGTGCAAAGCTTAATATTTGTAGGATTTTTATATAACTTAGTGTGATTTTTGTTTTTTTGTCTAACAGAACAACTAATGCGTCAGACTTTTTCACCATTTGGACAAATAATGGAAATTCGAGTCTTTCCAGATAAAGGATATTCGTTTGTTCGGTAGGGATGGTTTTTTAAAAAAAAAAACTTTTTTCTTGGTAATGTAACTGGAAAACCAGAAAATAAATAAAAATAAAAAATAAACTTTTTCCTCTGAAATATTTTTTGGATATTTACCTTGTTTTCTTAAAAATTTACCTTGGTTATAAAGAAGTTGAAATTTCGGCCAGGTGCGGTGGCTCATGCCTGTATTCCCAGCACTTTGGGAGGCCGAGACGGGTGGATCACCGTCATGAGTTTGAGACCAGCCTGGCCAACATAGTGAAACCCCTTCTCTACTAAAAATACAGAAATACAAAAATTAGCCGGGCGTGGTGGCACATGCCTGTAATCACAGCTACTCGGGAGGCTGAGGCAGGAGAATCATTTGAACCCAGGAGGTGGAGGTTGCAGTGAGCCGAGATCACAATCACTGCACTCCAGCATGGGCAACAGAGCCAGACTCCATCTCAAAAAAAAAAAAAAAAATTGAAATTTCTCTAGCATCTAGCATATTTGCCTCTGTGATTTTATAGCCCCCTCCCTAACACAAGGCCAATGAAACACACATTCTCAATTAACACAAGTTTTCCCAGAACTACAAGATCTTTGAAAAAAATAGCAAAGAAAATACACCATGTTATGCAAACTTTTACCTCAGACTCACCTTGATTTTTAAAAATTGGTTTTATTCATAAATATTTAAAAGAATTTGTATTGGTGATTCTTAATATTGTTTTCAATAGGTTCAATTCCCATGAAAGTGCAGCACATGCAATTGTTTCTGTTAATGGTACTACCATTGAAGGTCATGTTGTGAAATGCTATTGGGGCAAAGAAACTCTTGATATGATAAATCCCGTGCAACAGGTGAGAGGGTTCTTAACTTTGAGAAGTAATTGTTGGGCTAATAATGTTATTTTAAAGTGAAGATTGTTGATAATCCTTGTTAATAAGTTTCTAGCTAAAATGATAGTATATAAGGGCTCTTCCTACATGTATTATAGTTCCAGAATGGTGTTTCATGGATTGCAGTGGTGACATGATGAATGTGACCGCCTCAGTTGACTCATGCTCATACAGTGGATTTTAAAATGCTCCGAGAAACCTAAAAGGGTATTAAATCTTTTTTTAATACTTGGTAGATTTATTCACATACTATTTGGAGAACTCACAAGCATGCTTGACTCAACTGAAACAAAAATAAAGCTGTAAATATAGTTAGGGCCTTGGCAGTTTTCTTCCAGATTTTGCTGCCTTTTTTTTTTTTCCAGGCAGCTTTAGTGGTTCAGACTTGATTCCACAAAGATTTCTATGAGGAAACTGTAAATGGAGCACAGAGATGGGAGTAAGCAAATCCTAAACTATATAAGTTTCTTAAGTAAGCTGAATATAGAAATAACTAATCACATCTTCCCTATCTAAAGGAAACAATCATGTGGATAGTATACCAAACACTTAAACATTCTACTATGTTTAACATTTATTACTAGGATATCAACTGATGCCTTCCAAAAACTATGCCATTCAGAGTATCATGTAGAGTTACAGCAGTATAACCTCAGTTTTTTTTGTTTTGTTTTGTTTTTTGTTTTGTTTTTTAGCCGTCAACTCTTGTTTATCCTGTCATTTTAATTGTAATGATGGCCCTGTGTGTTTTTGCTAAGAATTTGTGGTATCAACATATTAGGATTGTATATTTACAGTTAACTTCAAGTAATACTAAATTTTATTTAATAGCAGAATCAAATTGGATATCCACAACCTTATGGCCAGTGGGGTCAGTGGTATGGAAATGCACAACAAATTGGCCAGTATATGCCTAATGGTTGGCAAGTTCCTGCATATGGAATGTATGGCCAGGCATGGAACCAGCAAGGATTTAAGTAAGCATATCTGATCTCTTCCTTTACTAACCTTTGAAAATGTCTAAAAATATTTTAAGTAGGAAGAAATTTTAAGAATTAGTGGATAATAGGGCCTCTTACATAAAGCCTAACTATAGCCTTCAAAGAACTTGTTTTTTAGTAAGAAAATAAGAGCTTAATAGTTGTTAAGGTTTTCACTGACTAATGGTCACTTAGTCATTCTTTTTTTTTTTTTTTTTTTTTTGAGACGGAGTCTCGCTCTGTCGCCCAAGCTGGAGTACAGTGGCCGGATCTCAGCTCACTGCAAGCTCCGCCGCCCGAGTGTACGCCATTCTCCTGCCTCAGCCTCCCAAGTAGCTGGGACTACAGGCGCCCGCCACCTCGCCCGGCTAGTTTTTTGTATTTTTTAGTAGAGACGGGGTTTCACCGTGTTAGCCAGGATGGTCTCGATCTCCTGACCTCGTGATCCACCCGTCTCGGCCTCCCAGAGTGCTGGGATTACAGGCTTGAGCCACCGCACCCGGCCCACTTAGTCATTCTTATATACACTGACTTTGATGCTAGTTGTTGTATTCATTATGCTTTTTTCTGTGCAAAGGGTTTTTTCATGCATTGTTATATTGCAAGCTTCCTTATACACCCTAAATTACATTATTTTACTTACATTTCTGAAAAACACACTGAAAATAAAAATACTTGGGAGGTTAAAAAGGAATGTAGTGGGCCGGGCGTGGTGGTTCATGCCTGCAATTCCAGCATTTTGGGAGGCTGAAGTAGGCAGATCACTTGAGGCTAGGAGTTTGAGACCAGCCTGGCCAGCATGGTGAAACCCCACCTCTGCTAAAAATACAAAAATTAGCCAGGTGTAGTGGTGCACACTACCAATAGGTTCCAGCTATTTGGGAGGCTGAGGCAGGAGAATCACTTCAACCTGGGAGGTAGAGGTTGCAGTGAGCTGAGACCATGCCACTGCACTCCAGCCTGGGCAACAGAGCAAGACTCTGTCTCCAAAAAAAAAAGAGTTTTGTGGTGGGAATTTTGTGGTTGGGCATGGTGGCTCATGCCTGTAATCCTAGCACTTTGGAAGGCCAGGGCAGGTGGATTGAGTCCAGGAGTTTAAGATCAGCCTGGGCAACATGGCGAAATCTCGTCTCTACAAAAAGTACAAAAAAAAATTAGCCAGGCATGGTGGTGCGTGCCTATAATCCCAGCTGTTCAGGAGACTGAGGTGGGAGAATCGCTTGAGCCTGGGGAGATACAGGTTGCAGTGAGCTGAGATCATATCACTGTACTCCAGCCTGGGTGACAGAATGAAAACCTGTTTCAAAAAAGAAAAAAAAAGAAAAAATCTTGTAATGTTATGAATTTTTATGAGCTTATATTTGTTAATAATTGTTTTGATTTCTTCTTTGAGTAGTATAATGTTAGCTCTTTTTTCATTGTGGGGAACCTACCTGACTCTTTCAGGTAGTGGCTTCCTCAGCAAATATGTTCAACCAAGATACAGAGATGAGATGGACAGTTTTCTTTTCCGAGAATGGGGTTAAGTTTTTCTGTGTTCAGGGGAGATGAATGTTGATAAGTTCAGGGTATTTTCTTAGCTTTAATTTCTAACAAAAGTAAACTGTCCAAAAAAACATACAGGGATGCTTGTTTTTAAGAGAAAAAAAACTTTAGTAGAAGCTTTCGTTTTCCCTGGCGTAAGTTATTCTATTTGGGTTTAAGAAAAAGTATGTTTCCCATTTCCCATATTTGTTATTTGTTCTTGCCAATACTTTATTTTAATCAGTGGATTTCCTCTCCCCTCTGCTTCTTTCACATTCTCCACCAGTCAGACACAGTCTTCTGCACCATGGATGGGACCAAATTATGGAGTGCAACCGCCTCAAGGGCAAAATGGCAGCATGTTGCCCAGTCAGCCTTCTGGGTATCGAGTGGCAGGGTATGAAACCCAGTGAAAAAGGACTCCAGAATCTAAAGCCAGTGGCTTGAGGCTACAGGGAGTGTAGTAAAGCCGTTGTTTACTTAAAGATTTATCAAATCAGTCAGTGCAAATGTCAGATACAATGTATTTATTTAAAAGATTCATTTTTAATCATGAAATTACTTATCATCCACATTGTTTTAAAAAGAAACAAGATGCTGGATGTCTGCCAATTTTTGCCTTCATTACCTTTTTTGATAAAGTTTCTCAGATCCTTGTTTCAAACACAAATGCAGGGATTGCTGCCACTTTTTAACTATTAAGAGGCAGAAAATTGCACAATATTGAACTTTTTTCCACTAAAGTAGTGTGCAGTTATAGTTTGCATTCCTGATATGATTTAAAACATGTAATATAAAGATGTTAAAAAAAAAAAAAACTGTGCAGAGTCTAGAAGTTCTCTGTCATCTTCAGCTTGTGCACAATTCTGTTTTAGGTTTAAAAAAAAAGGCATTGTTTGAGCTGTCCCATCTCCACTGTTATCCCTTTGTGGTTTTTTAATATAAATTATTAGTTTATGTCATTTTTGTATCTACATCTTTTTTCACAAATTTGTCTTGCCTTATTAAAGTTCTGTAAAATATACTTAAATGGAAAAAATGATGTTCATTTAGATTGAAAACTTTTCTCAGATGGATTGATAATTGCATTCATCTTATGTTTTATATGAGAAGGTGCCTCAAGAATTCCCTGTTGGATTTGTTTAAAAGAATTTTTATCTTCTGTGATAAACTTTGCTGTGTACCAGGAACTATAAAAACAAAAACTTGTTACTAAAGAAAATATCTGAAATGTGATAAGTTCTTATGCCATGTTAATTTCATGTGTCAACTTCAACATTTACATGTATTACTTCATTATGTAAAATGTTTCAGCAATTTAATATTTTGCACAGTTAGCAAACTTTGTATGTCATTTCCTTCAAGGTATCATGCAGAGTTTACATGAAATTTATAAGGTTTTAAGTTGTTTGCATGTGAAAATCAAATACATACTTTGGTAGTCTTTGAATACAAAGTCATCTGCTCTTGTTTTTCAAGAATTTTGAGACACAAAGTTGTATGTAAAGGAATATATTTGCCGTTTTATAGGTAGATTTGCTCAAAAAGAGTGAATCAACTTAACATGTACAAATGATAGCTGTGAAACTGTAGAATATCTGTGTGTCAGGCTTGGAGTTCATTGTGACCTCCAAATTTTGCCTGAAGGACCAGCTGGGCAAAGCATTTTTTAAATGTTCAGAGGCCAAAAGATAAACAAACAAAAAAACACTTAAAATCCTACCTCTTTAAACAGCCTTCAAATAAGAATCCTCAGTGCAATCATTATTTTGATTCTTTTGGTACCTGTTTTCCTGGAGTTCCCAATTTTATTATTTTGGAGTGGCTCCAAGCATTAAGAGGTTTAATCTTTATGGCATTGTTCTAGTTTTGAAATTTCTATTGTATTTCAGAGTCTCTTAGAAAACTTGTGTGGGAAGTTTCATTTTGTTTTTGGTGAAGGTCACAAACCTCCTTCTTCCTTGACTCAGAGAGGAAAGGTCCCAGTATATATATTTGAATGGTCAGTGGTTTTCAAGACCTTCAGAGAGCTCCCTGCATTTTACCTAGAAACAGAAAAGGCCTGCAAAATCTTAAGTTTCCTGGCCTGCATTTTCCAGGTAGGGGCAAATGACTCCAAGCTGGTCTCTAAGCCAATACCCTTGTAAACCAGAGTCCAGGAAAGATAGCTCAAGTGTGTAATTCTCTGGAGCTCAATTCTATGCAGTTGTGCTATTTCATTAAGTCACTGTGTATTTTTAAGTGTTGATACATTAAAAGTCGCTTTATGGAAGATGAGTAAATTTTTTAAATACTTGGAAATTTTATTTCCTTATTAACTTCTACAGATCAGGGCATGCAACCAAAAGCAGCTTAAATGAAATATTTAAAAAAATAAAATATCAGGAAGCTATTTTTAGATTTCTTCTGGCTTATGTTTCTATTTTAGGACCCTCATTTTTCTCTTATTAAAAAAAAATTATTTCCTGTACATCTCATGGACTGCAGGGTAAATTATTTGGGCATAAATAATTTAAATAGTTTTCTTTCATTTTGACTATCTCCAGTAACAACAGTTTTTATTAGCCAGCATATTGGCTTATTGCACAAATCTTAAAATGTACATTGACTACTTTTTGAGAAGAAAGTGGTATCAGTACTCGCGATGAAAAGGTTACTACTGAACAAATTCACATTTCAGGAACACCTATCTATCTTTGGTTTAAATCTTACTCTTAGTTTTTCAGTCTAAAAATCATACTGGTATTAGTATCAGGTAAGGAAACTAAAAGTTTTTTAAATGGTTTCATTCTCTGCAATATGCAAAATTTAGATTTTACTTTCTGGTACTGTAAAGAACCTGAAGTGATTCACACTTAATGGGTCATTAATCCAGTATTCTTTACCCTGAATGTTTGGATATTAAAGTTCCTTTATGTTTTCTATAACCTGTGGGATCTTCTTGCAGTGATTATTGTGTGTGAGATTTTTTTTCATTTTGGTCTAGCCATATTGTTATATTCACTCAGGTATTTGTTAATTTTTTTTAAGTCTTATTCCAGAATCAGTGGTTTACATTGGGTTACTGTTTAACACCAAATGGAATTGACATTCTGCAGATTTAATTAATTATGAAACCAGGGTCTCATTTTCCTTGCTGATATTTGTTGAAAATGAGATTCACGTTCTAGTCTTTATTTTCCTCCTGTTTGTCCTTGTGCTTGCTCATCTTCCTTTTATTTGTGTGTTATAGTTCTATTCCATTTGAGAAGGCAGTTGGTAAGAACTAGAGTCCATGTACAAAGACAGGTTTACTAAGTGCTGTACAGTGGTCCTGAGGTTACAGTTGAATTAGAAAAACAAAATGTACTTATAGGAAATAAGAAAGCAAACCTTTCAAATGAGAGTGATGATTTCTTTAAAAAAAAAAAACAAAAATCTTTTTTTCTCTCTTAAATAATGTTCTTTATTTCACGAAATCTTTTTTGTTTTTTTTGTTTTTTGTTTTTTTTTTGAGATGGAGTCTCACTTTGTCGCCCAGGCTGGAGTGCAGTGGTGCCATGTTGGCTCACTGCAAGCTCCGCCTCCCAGGTTCACACCGTTCTCCTGCCTCAGCCTCTGGAGTACCTGGGACTACAGGCGTCCACCACCACGCCCGGCTAATTTTTTGCATTTTCAGTAGAGACGGGGTTTCACTGTGTTAGCCAGGATGGTCTCAATCTCCTGACCTCGTGATCCGCCCATCTCAGCCTCCCGAAGTGCTGGGATTACAGGCCGGAGCCACTGCGCCCAGCGAAATCATCAATCTTAAGCATGAATAGGGATAAACAACTCCTAGAAGGAACTCAATTCATTCTTCCTGGATTTTCACTGTGTTATTAAATCACAAAAATGATAGTCCCCAATTGTTTCTTTATAGGAGGTTATTATATTTTATTACAGTCACTGCATTGTGACTGTTGTGTTTAGAATTTGAATGTACATCCAAAATGATGAGTTTCAATTTAAGAGCCTTAATAAAATGTGTGTGTCTCAATTGAATAGGTTTTTCTACCTTCATTTGGAGACCTTAATTCGTATGAATTAATTCATATGAATAAGAATATGAATTAAGGTATTAGCCAAACAGGAAAACAACAGGTGTCAATGGTAGCAGGATTTTTTTAACTTTTTTTTTTTTTTTTTTGAGATGATGTCTCACTCTCGTCCCCTAGGCTGGAGTGCAATGGCGCAATCTCGGCTCACTGCAGCCTCCACCTCCTGGGTTCAAGACATTATCTTGCCTCAGCCTCCTGAGTAGCTGGGATTACAGGCGCCTGCCACCATGCCTGGTTAATTTTTGTAATTTTAGCAGAGACGGGGTTTCACCATATTGGCCAGGCTGGTCTCGAACTCCTGACCTCAGGTGATCC